TAAAGAATTCTCTAAGGTGGCCTTTTTTCAGAAATGTCGCCACCTCTTAGCGCAAATGCCGACAATCCCCAATTTAGTGACCATTGGTCTCATGATATTCGCACCACAAATTAGGAACCCTGTGACTGGGATCAGATCTCATCGATTTCGGGAACCGTGCTTCCTTAATGTTCCTCATAGGCGACACCAGCTCCACTACGCTAACGTTGGAGTTGTATTCGGAAAGCCTGTGGTATGAGGAATCTTGGGAACCTGATAACTCCATGTCTTGCAATGACCTGTTATTCCGGCCTCGATCATCTCTCCTACGGTAGCGAATGTATCCGTTGACCGAAAACCTCTACCACGTCCTTCGGCCCTTTCATAAGGCAAAAACCAGCCCCTTGAAGATCGACGATCTGTGTCAACATCATCCTTTGATGTCCTTATTTTTTTCCCGGTCCCGACCTTTGGTTGATGCCGAGAAGCCCAGCTGATCATCCTATTTTCTTATCTTTGACTTGTACCGGTTATGAACATCCGCCTATGTTGATGCTTGGAACTCAAGCAGACTCTCTTTCAACTTCTAGGAAGCATAGAAACTTCTCGGATTCAACCCTTTTGTAAATGCTTTAGCTGCGCACTCGTCTGGTACGGTTGGGAGAAACATCCTTTGTTTCTGGAATCTGGTCACGAACTCCCGCAGCAATTCGGACTCTCCTTGTGCAATCCTATATGTTTGTTGACCTTTCAGGCTTGGATCTTTCTGGCCCCGACATGGGCCATGATAAAATAATCCGCGAGCATCTCGAAGGAATCTATATATTGAGTGCTCGGGCAAAAGCGAATACCATGTCAGGGCCCTTTTTGTGCGGGTCTCCCCGAATTTTTTCAGTAACATCGACTCAATTTCGTGCTGAGCTAAATCGTTTTCCTTCACCACCATTGTATAGGTGGTGATGTGCTCCTGAGGATCCGAAGTCCCATCATACTTCGGCACGTCTGAAAATTTGAACTCCTTCAGGATCAACTCTAGTGTCGCGCTTGGCTTGAACGAAAATTGGGTGTACTTCTTTGAGTCCGGTCCTTTCAATACTGGTGGTGCGCTCGGAATCTAATCTATTCGCGCGTTTATTCCCTCATAAACCACATGAATTCAATTTTAAAGGGATCATTCTCATTATTGTTACCGGATCTGCTACCGTCCCCCCTGGCCCTGTCGAAGCCAACTTAGCCTCTCGGGGTATTGTTATCGACCCTCTGCGTTCTTTGGTTTGTGGGAGCACCGGGAGGAACTGGATCTCATCCATTCGTGTTATTGGAAGCTCCCGACAACGCCTGCCTCAATTCCGTCATGACCTGATCCTATTGTGTAAGGTGGCCCATAATGGCCTTTTGTTGCTCCCTCAGGATCCTTACTATTTTAACGACGTGCTTGTCTTCAGCATCATTAGGAGTTGCCTCTTGAACATGTCGCGGATATCGCCCGTCGTGAACCGGCGTGGCCTCATCCCCTCGTTGCGGGTATCACTGATTGAATATTAGTGCTGAGGCTGATTTCCTTGGGCCCAACATTCTGTGCGATGTTGACATTGTTATCTGCCATTTTCTATAATTTTTGCTAAGAACAAAGAATCAAACAGGTTAGTAATAGATGCAAGGATCAATTAAATCAACTGTCTAAGCCCCACGGTGGCCGCCAAACTATTTATTCGTAAAATGGCACAGTTGAATTTGTATGTGGTTTATAGACATGTGAATTAATTTGAACCCAAAATGATAAATAAATTAAACAAGAATGTAAGACTTAGCGTTGAAATCGAGATACGACAGTATAAATCTTGATTTCGGGAGCAGAGCTTTTGGAGGTAGTAGTAACAATAGTGATGAGCAAGAAGATAAAATATTATTGAGCTTTTGAATAAAGTATAGTATCAGCTTGTCAGAATATTCGTGTCCTTTACAATGACTGTTGAGCCTTTATTTATAATTGCACCTAGCAAAATAAGGTCTTAGGGTCAAGCCCTTCTTAAATGACAATTACAGGGGCAATTGAAGAATATATAACGGTAGGCAGTGAATGTCATATTCTCTGTAACGCACCATGTACTTATGCTATAGAATATTCTTCATTAAATTCTAATGGGTGGCAGACATTTGTTTCGCCTTTATGAACACCACCCTCTTCGGGGACAAACGAGATTCGGACCTGATTGCCTTCTGTTTTCGGCTCCATGTATTGCTTTATCATGTGAACATCTAATATGAACATATTTTATCCTATACAGAAACAACATGCAATTAATGGAGAAACTACATTAGAACAACCATTTCTTTGTAAGGATTAGAATTTAGAAGCCCAGAATGGTGTTTTCTATTTGAAAACGTTGCATGTGGAAGCTCTAGTGTCTGCTATCTCACTGTAAGCTTTTAATTCCTTCTCCAAGATATTGAATTTTATTAGGAACTTCTAATCATTTGATTAAAAAATTGTGTATGCTTTCCAGAATGCTTGACTAGCTTGCTGACTTACATAATTAAGATTAAATAAACAATATTATAGAATATTAGGTAGTTAATAAACCTTTAGATTTTATTTTTTATTTTACTATTTTAATTGCAAGATAGAACGAAATAAATTAAAGAAGTCTGAAAGCAAAGATAGTTAGGCTGTCAAAAAGAAGCTGAAAAATAATCAAAGTTGGTTTAGTAGTAGAATAAATTATAGATATCCATCATCTTTTGGCTTTTTGACATTAGATGGTCCACCTTTTCGACTGGCTAGGTCCGAGAGTTTCTTATTCCTTCTCTGCTTATTCAACCTTTTTCTTTGGCCAGTACTTATCCTGATTTGTTCAATCTCAAACAGTCCTTTTTTAAGATCCAACTCATACACGGGGTCAATGGGCGATCAAGAAGGCCCATGGCCTAGGTTGGTGATTTCCGGTGGATTTGCATTTATACCCGCTTTTTGGGTCACGTTTTAACTTGTGCTCGCTTTGCAAAAAAAATTGCAAGCGTATCCACTTTTTCGCGTAACTTCAACATACGGGGCTGAAGTAGCAAAGGCAATCACGCAAAACTTCAGCATTTTAGTAGACGGGCCTGAAGTAGCAAGTGCGCTGAAGTTTTTGTTTGTAATTGCTGAACTTAAGCATAGTAGCTGAAGTTTTGCTGAAGTTTTTGTTTGTAATTGCACTAAATAAGCTGAAGTTTTTTTTGTCCTGGATTCATTATTTTGTCATTAAGCTTTTTCAAAAACTTCAGCAGAAGATGCTGAAGTTATTTAGTTCATTTATAATAACTTTAGCACTAAATAAGCTGAAGTTTTTTTGTCCTGGATAAGTTTTTTCAAAAACTTCAGCAGAAGATGCTGAAGTTATTTAGTTCATTTGTAAAAACTTCAGCACTAAATAAACTGAAGTTTCTTTGTCCTGGATCCATTAGTTTTGTCATAAAGCTTGTTCAAAAACTTCAGCAGAAGGTGCTGAAGTTATTTAGTTCATTTGTAAAAACTTCAGCACTAAATAAGCTGAAGTTTTTTTGTCCTGGATTCATTAGTTTTGTCATAAAGCTTGTTCAAAAACTTCAGCAGNGCCTGTAGAACCCGGCGTGCCCAAGGAAACTTCTCACCACCTTGACTGAAGTAGGCGGTGGCAGCTTTTCAATCACGTCAACCTTAGCATGGTCAACCTCAATTCCCTTACTGCCTTAAACTCCCCGTACGTAGAAATATTCACAAATTATTGTCTACTAACTTACGTAATTATTTATAATTTGTTTTAAATAATCTGATAAACATACTTATGGCAATCATCCCATGAACTGGAGTTTCATAGCAGCACCAACAACAGCAGAAGAAAGAAGAAGAAGAAGAAGAAAACGAAAGAGGAGAATGATGAGGAGAAAGGAGGCTGAAGTTGTTTAAAAAATGTGTACAAGTTAAAACTTTTTAAAAAAAGGGGTATAGGTTAAATGTGGGCGACCAAATAGGACGCCCCGTGCAATTTTTACGTGACTTCCATTGCACTTTGGAAGGGCGCCCGCCTAAGGTCGGCCCAAGTGGCCGAGCCTACGTCATAATTTGTGGCAGCCCCAAAAAAAAATAACAGTAAATCTTTAACACACTATATCAGTGTATAATTAGTTATAACATGTTATTTACTGTATATTTAGATTGTGAATTAGAATTAATAAAGAAAATTACTTGTTACACGCCAATCTTAACCCAATGATGTAAAACATTTTTAAACTGTGTAGAAAGTATTCCTTCTTTTAAGCTATCATCAGTCAATCAACTTATTCGTGCCATTTTGTTCCTTAATTATTGCTTCTAACTATTCTATTCAAAAAGTTTGATATGTGTCCTAATTTTTTCCTTTCTATCATTAATTCATAATTTCATACTAGAAACCTATGGAGATTGATTCACTTAGAAAGTCCACTCGGTACAGCTAAAAACCTAACGTGGCGAAGATAAATTATTTCTGTTGTCTAATAATGTTTGTGTATCGCACTCTATTTAACTTAAGTAGTTTCTTTTTTTATACCCCTTCTAATGAGTAATATAGCAGTAATAAAATGGATCTACGTACATACATACACATAAACACACATTTGTTGCTTTGAATGTTAATTCCATTATCTTATATGATACTTCTTTCTTTTTAATCTTCTCTAGCAAAAATAACATATTTATACTTAGAAATCGTTTAACCTTAACCTTTCAATTTTTCTTTTAAGTGATATAATTTTATAGTTAATAATATTAATGATATTTGCCAAAAAAAAAAAAAATTCTTCTGTGAGCTTTGTACCTAATCATAATTCTATCATATAACATGTAGTAATGAATAGAGTAATTTCTTCAAGAAATTTTATTACTCTGCTGTAGAAAATTAAAATTCATCCACTTATGACGTCATTAAGTTGGGCAGTTACGTATATGGACGTCATTATTGTTGAAAGATAAAAAAGTAATCCTCTTATTTCTTTCCTCTCACTATATATAAAATCTCATGGTATACTCATTGCTATACACAACTCTTAACACGCTCCACAAATAGTGATCATATTTGACACTACACCAAAAAACATGGAATGCAGTGACAAAACCAGCGGTACTTCTTCATCGTCTTCTGCCGGAATGATGACGCCTCCTCCATCTCCTCCGTGGCCGGTGATTCTGACGCCTTGCGCCGCCTGCAAGATCCTCCGCCGGAGATGCGTCGATAAATGTGTTCTGGCACCCTACTTTCCGCCGACGGAGCCGCTTAAGTTCACCATTGCTCATAGAGTCTTTGGTGCCAGCAATATCATCAAAATGTTACAGGTATTTGTTTCATCCGAATGTGAACACAGATAAAACATCTCAACTTTCTTGATTTGTTTTGGGGGCTTCGAAATCTATCCCTTGATGCTTAGTTTTAATTGACTTGTTTTTTTTTCTAGTATGTGTTCTCTTTTTCTCTTCTTCTTCTTCTTTTGTTTTTTTCTTTTTGTTCTCTCATGTCCGTTTCTTTAAAAAATGGTTTCACCTAAAAAAAAGGAAAAAAGGCGTTGTGCGACTTCTTTAACTTGTTAGTGACTTATTTTCCACATTCCACACTTTAGCTATTATTTTCTACGATCTAGCTATAGCTAATTATATTGCACTTTGTAAAGTGTGTATATATATATACCTTTCGCTTTGAGTTTTATAATTATCATAAACAAAGCCTCCACCTTGTCCCTAAATTAGAGAGAATCGCATTTGGGAAGCACGAATATGTACCGCTCATTCTAATAGCTTACGCAATATGAATCTGCAAATATATATGTACATATATAGTTCTTACGAAGTGATTGCAAGAGAGCTTTTTCTGTGTTTCTTTTTCTAATTTTTTGATTGGCGATGACGCTTAAAATCACCAGAATCGATTCAGACATATTCAAGTTTCAACCATACTCTATGTCTCAAGTTATATTATATAGTACTCCCTCCGTCCCAATTTATCTTATACGGTTTAAATTTCGAGAATCAAACTTGTCAATTTTAGCTGTAAATATAGACACAAAATCTTTAAGTTTTTTTACTCACAATAATAAACGATTCACAACATTTAAAAGGCATATGAAAAAAATGTGATTACAGAAAAATAAACTGTATCAGACAAATTGGGATGGATGGAGTATGCCATAAAGAAATAGATCAATCTACTATTTTTGCTGTCCAAAAATTTGAGTGAATATCTCTTCATATCCTTATTATAAGACCATTAATATATATTCCGTAAAACTTATAACAAAATGCACAAAACCTCTAATTATTTATAGGAGCTTCCGGAGGATCAAAGAGCAGATGCAGTGAACAGCATGGTGTATGAAGCAAATGCGAGAATCAGAGATCCAGTGTACGGCTGCGCCGGAGCAATTTGTCAGCTACAGAAGCAAATAAGTGAGCTTCAAGCAGAGCTTGCCAAGGCTCAAGTAGAGATGTTGAATGTGCAGTGCCAAAACACAAATTTGGTGTCATTGATTTGTAGGGAGATGTCACAAAATCAAGAAAACAACGGCAGCGTGTGTCCTGATCAACAAACTTATGGAAATACCAGCCTTTTTTTGGACGACAATAGTGTCTATGCATCTTGGGAACCACTATGGACATGATGAAAAAAGTTAGAATACTTCTATGAATTTAGTTACGTACGTTAACACTGTGCCCAAGGTTAGGGGTAGAAAATGCAATGACATCGTTTCCAAAATTCAATAAAATATATCATTACATGACGAGCGACAGAGATAGAGGTCCTAATTGTCATATCAAGGAAATGGTCTTCCACGAAATTGGATATTGATCACGCCCAACTATGCCTTATAAAAAGGACAAAGCGGTCGTTGCAAATATAATCCGGTTTACAAGTCCAGAGTCGAATCCCATAGAGAACTAAGGCTTAGCTACAGTTGTTCACTATCACCAAGAATACAAGCTTGAACAATTCCTAACTTATTGATATTAAGATTCTTGTGTTTAACTAACTAACTAACAAATTAAAATAATAAGTTAACACTAAAGATACTACAGGTTGGAGAAAAGATTAAGGAGGTCTAGAGTTATGATTTCCCCAATTGTTGGAATCCTTCCCGCTATGTCTTCTATNTCCACAACAATACAAATTTTTCCTTTTTTTATTTAATTCATGTGGCTCTTACTTTTTCAAAATAGTGCTACCTTTCTCCTTATTTCATTAGTTCCACTCAAAAGTCCAAACCTAACCACCCCACACTTTAACTTTTATACAGCTTATAACAATTCAAGTGCTTATGAGAGGTTGGAAGGTTCAAATAGATGGTTAATTCAAACAAATGGGTAAGGCTTGTAATGTGGTTGCCAAAGAAACAGGATTATAGGCTCAAAGGGGTTAACTACGATACATAACAATTAGGCGGGTAAAATATACATATCTGGCTCAACAAAGAAATGCCTATATCACTTCAAGGACTGAACAAAACTACTATTTCGCTTTGCAAACACAAAGGGCAAGTTCTAGGCATCAAATGCAATACACAGAATATAACAAATCCTTACACAGACATGGCACATAACTCACTCAGGATTGCACTCATCAAGACACTCTAGTCAAAGCAGTTAAGCAATGTTAAGATCATAAAATTTAAGGTACTTATACAAGAGTCAAAAACTGAGCCTAAGCGTCACAACTAAAGTACTCACTATTCTCAAGGCATAACAAAGTCAAGAGATATTGCTTCAATTCAAAACACAACACAATGGCTCCTACTCCCCCCAAAAAAAAATTAGTAACTACATCCGGTTCAAACAAAACCCTTGGAAAAGGACCGTGGTTTAAAGAAAAACCAAGGGGTAATTGCTACACTACCTAACAAAAGAAAATCTTTTTGTTTTTTTTCTTTAGACTTAAATCCCTCAAGAAAATTTTCTAATAGATCCATCGACGGGAAAAGTCCAATCTTTAAAAAAATATTTAATTAAACTAACGCAGCTAAAGTAGTATGAAAAGTCACCCAGACAATCTCCTCACCCCACACTTAAAATTGTGCATTGTCCCCAATGCACACCATAACTAATAAAAGGGTAAAAGAGACTCCCTGGTAGGCCAAAGGCCGAAGCACTAACAACTCATGGGGTACTCAGACTTCTCCCAAGCTTGGTCCTTCATGCAGGTACCTCACACTTAGTTCCAACCATTTGGTTTGCTGTTGCATCCTTCCAATAGCTTTGCTTTCTATGTTTCTAGAAATCAAAAATCGACACTACAAGAATAATACTATAAAAATAAATAAATAAATAAATAAAATAAACTAAATTAAAAAAAGCTGTTTGCCTCCCAACAAGCGCTTGATTTAACATCGCGGTACGACGTGAATCATTTTTCGCCTCCACCTCGAGCTTATGAATTGAACCCCAAGTTTTGGTTCAAGCTTATGATTATGGTCATGGGGCGGTGGAACGAATCTAACTGGCCCAAGGAAATAATGTAGTATTCTGCACTCCTTGGCCTTTGTATGAGGTATGTAATCCCGACTTTCTAGCAAGAAGAATTCCAGAATATATGCACCTTGTTCCTCATTCCTTGACTCTTCAATTGGTTCGGATGACTCTATTTCCATATCATCATCCAAACATAATGTGGAAAAATGCTTGGAGTGTGGACCAATGCGCTCAAACACATGAACTTCAGGACTTTCAACATCCTCAACATCAATGATACTAGAGTCAACAAAATTTATATCCTCAAAGTCCTTGACTGGCTCTAGTCTCATTTCTTCAACATTGACATCCTCAAATTGTAGTTGGCTAGGTTGTTGATGTTCTACTCTGACCTCCTGAATTAACACCTCAAATTTATGCTCTTCTTGGCTACTATCCTCAATATTGGCTTGTTGAGCATTAAAAGCTCCAACCACTTGACTCAATTGAGCCTCCAACTTGCGAATAGTTGCCTCTTGCCTTTCTATCTGCAATTATTTTTTATTATTTTGTTTCAGAAGGCACTTTAATATATCCTTGATCTCCTTCAGGTCTGCATCCCCAGGTTCTTTGTTGCTGTTAACTTCACAAGAAAAGGTAGAACCGTCATAGTAAGGGGTTGGGGGAAGATAAGAAATATAAGCACAACCATAAAAGTGACCATTTTTACCACCACACACATCACACAGATTCCACAAATAAGATTGAGTTGGTGCACATAACTCGCTCTCAGGAACGTTTTGAAAATTTTGCCACGGGTGGTTTCCTTCACAATATGTATGGAGATCAATAGTAGAATTATCTACACCTAAATTCCCATAATTCCAAGATGTCATGTTTCTCAACTCAACAGCTATATAAAAAAAACAAAAAAGAAAAACAGAAAAAAAGTTCAAACTTGAACCCTAGCAATATATACAGCTACAACTACACCGTTAGTTCCCCGGCAACGGCGCCAAAAATTTGATCACGCCCAACTATGCCTTATAAAAAGGACAAGCGGTCGTTGCAAATATAATCCGGTTTACAAGTCCGGAGTCGAATCCCACAGAGAACTAAGGCTTAGCTATAGTTGTTCACTATCACCAAGAATACAATCTTGAACAATTCCTAACTTATAGATATTAAGATTCTTGTGTTTAACTAACTAACTAAAAATTTAAAATAATAAATTAACACTAAAGATACTACAGGTTGGAGAAAATATTAAGGAGGTTTAGAGTTATGATTTCCCCAATTGTCGGAATCCTTCCCGCTATGTCTTCTATTATTTCGCCTAAGTATTCTCTACCGATCATGAGCGCTCTGCGTGTTGTAATTCTCTCCCGAGTAATTATGATAATTTACTAGACATATCTCCCGAGTTACGCTAGTTGGCTTTAATTATAGCTCACTTAGATCGCACCCAAGGTTTCGTTATCCCTAATCCCACCTTTATACCCTTGGTTATTGATTCCTCACATACGTCGGGAGTGATGTTGTTCAACAACTACCTAAATATGAACTCTCTCCCGAGTAATACATACTAAATAGGCACAGCTAATTGAGGGCCCTTCAATCAACCACAAGAATAATATAGTTGAACAAATAGAGAAAATACTACGGCTCAATTATATAAAAATATAACAAGAATTTATCTTTCAAAAGGTTCCATCAAAACCCTAGATAACAAATTAGCTATTCATAATAGTATGTAAAACTACAATACTAAAAGTCATAACCAACAATGAAAAATAGGAAGAGGAAGGAAAAACTCGTAGAAGAATTCCCCGCCTTGCTCCTATTATGTCTCTGCCTCCTTAGGTCGAATCTGTGTCTCAAATCTGTCCAACCCCCTCAAAATACCGTTTTCCATGTATATATACCAAGTAGGGTTGGGCCCAAACAATTATACCTTCTCCTACGCAAAAAAGGACACATTTTTCGGACAGGACGTGCGTGGCCGCGCTTGGACTGCGCTCAGACCGCGCAGATCCACTTTGATTTTGCCTGACGAGTGCGGCCTGAGCGCGGCCGCGCACTTGATGCGCACTTTTTACCCTGTTATGTTAGGAATTTGGAAAAACGTAAAACATAAAAGTTGTAACCCTTTGAGTTAGCTTTCCAACCATATATTGTGGAGTCTAAATGAAGTTCTGGACAAAAAGTTATGTGCATTTTACTAAACAGTGCGCAATATACCTACTCGATTCTTCGTTTGTTCTAACTATCATCCGTTGACACCCGAACACGATCCCGGCTTAATTCCTTGAGCTTTTACTCATACTTCAAAGCTCCAAATCACTTGAATTTATTTCATAACCTCTACATAGCTCGGAATCTCTCCTGCAAAGCATAAAACACACAATTAGTACAATACACTAGCGATTAAAGCTCAAACTCAATTAAAATGCAGTAAATTTTAGTGTAATAAGATATTAAAATACGTAATTATAGCCTATCATCAGATATCAATGTTGAGCTAGACTGTCTAGTGTCTACTTTCTGCTTTGAAGAAATTAAACACATGGAATTAGCATGATACTATTTTGGACATAACTTCAACACAATAATTACTTGCAATTGCAAAAATACTAATAATCTTTTGAAATTAATGATTGATTTGCTATTTTTTCCTTCATTTCAACTTCAACTCGAAATAATAAATTTAAACAATAGACATTCTCCCCTTATTATCAAATTTTATTTTTTTAAATGCGTTGTCTTCCTTTTTTTTTTTTTCTTTCTTTAAAATCATGATATATTTTTTAATCGATGTAATAAACTTTTTTTGATCAGGTAGGAAGCTGTTTCAATATTAATGATGCAGCATCTTACAAAAGAGAAAGCTCCAGCAAGCATAATTTAACAGTCCATTTAATTGTTCATGGAGCTAATAAAGTCTAAAAGTAAAATGGAGCTATCAGCGTCATAATGATTAATTACACCAATCAAAAAGATAAAGAAGACATCTAGATTTCAAATATATGTAGGAGTTGAAGTTCCTTCAAAAGTTCCTAATAGCGATCAAAACTCTAATATCTACGTATAGAGAAAATAAAGAGAGCGAATACTATAAAAATATATTTTAATGCATGTAATAGAAAACATAACTATTAAAAATAGACGTAGATTTTATGATAGTTTCCTCAAAATTATCTATTTATATTGTAAATGAATTTTAAATTATAATTTAGGAATATTTCACTAATGCAGTCAAAACTCTGTTTTTATACTGACGATAAAAAATAAGAGATAAATGGAACATATACACACACTCACATACTACAAGATAATAAGTAATGGTTAG